AGTTGACTGAGATGCACTCCCAAATTAGAAGGAAAAGGCAGGTCTTGCACGAGGAGGAAATGAGTCACCAGGGCTCCCTAACAGGGTTGGCTTATTCCTTCCTCCATTTCAGGAAGAGCCGAGCACTGTCCGTGTCTGTGACTCGGAACTTGTCACTTAGAGTCAGCTCATCTTGCCAGACTCATACACTGAACTGCCAGAATGGAAAAAGAGCCAGAAGTGGAAAATGAAAACTCTGAGAAATGGTTACAAAAAGGCATCCTCTTAAGAGCTTAATGCTGTTAATTTGGGGAGTTACAGAATCAGGATCAGGCAATTCACAGCAAGGATTTCACCATGGTATTACAGAGCTTTGCAGATACAATGTGGGGGCTTGTCTTGTCCCCCCTCCAAATTATAAGGGGAGCCAATGAAGTCAAGATAGAATTTACCATTGACTTTTACTTGCAAATTCCAAGAGAGGAAACCTCAGAATCCTCAGAGAGAAGGCAGCAATAGAAACAAAACTCATTTCCAGATTTTGAAGCAAAACCAGACTCTGAGGCTCAGAGAATAGCTCCCCAGTTTTACTCTTGGTTTTTTTTCCCCCCGAGCTTCTCCCAAGTCCCTAATTCTTTTAAAACCCCAAGTCCAAGTTCATGATTCAAAGACAGAAATGGATTTTTCATGTTCTTTTTGAAAACTCCTCTTTTCTTTACTCCCCTGAGCCTTTTGAACTTTTCTCTAGTTTACTTGTAGCAAGTGGAATATTCCCCAAACAGGAAAATAGGCCATGAAACTATGTCATAATATCTTTCCTTTTAATGTTTTTCTACCTGGATCATTAGTTTGAAAAGTCCCAGCTGAAGGGTTGGAAACCAGTGTTGCTGCCACAACAAATTTTCACATATAAAGTCTTCAGAGAATTTCTTATCAATAGGAAGGATTGCAAGGAAAATTCCATCACGTCTGAAGTGGCCAAAGAGTGGTCGCAAAAGCAAAGAAGGGAAGAGAGAGGGTCCTTACTGACTACAGCTGGCTGCGTATCTGATGGTCACCGGGTATCTCAGAACGAGAAGGCGCCCATCAGGCAGAGGTGATTCCACCACCAGGCACAGCTGGGAACCCACAGAAACAGCTGCTAGGAAGGGTGCTGCAGAAACCTAGGAGAAGCTGAGGACCCTGAACCTCATGATCTCATGAGCCATGTTTTATAACCTTTTCAGTGAACAAGAAGGTGGGTACAGGAGAAAGGAAAATGCCAGCTGGAGTACTCTCTCTGATTTTATATTATAGTTTTACACGAACACACCCAGAGGTTAATCCTTTTAACCTTCATAAGAAATTAAACCAAGTGCTGATACTTCTGTTTGAAATGCACTAATGAAGGGATTGTCACCAGCCCAGCAGTCCTGGAGAGGAGGCATTTTAAGATATCATCTCTAACCTTGGGGGAAAAAAGTGTTATTATGAAATAGATTGCATGTGTAAAAAAGTGTCCAAAATATAAATATACAGCATAATGAATATTATAAAGCCAATATCCATGTAGTCACCACCAAGACCAGGAACCAGAGTATTGCCAAACTCCCCTTGGAAGTCTCTCTTCTTGAAACTGAGGAGCCAAACACTGGACCTCTTTTTAAAGTTTGGGGTTAACAGCCTCCAAGGCTTCCAGTCTTTGACCTTTCTCCTTCCTCTCAGTAGTTCATCCCCTAAAAGAAATTTGTAAAGTAATTGCCCATAATATCTATGCTCATTGAACTAATGCCCTCTTTACGTGTTTGAAGCAGGATAAATAAAAATTCAAATGACCAAGAAAATAGTTTCTCAAGCACTGAAAATATTAGCATATTTTCTTGTAAGAGAAGCTCCCTGGTAGCTCCATCAGTAAAGAATCTGCCTACAATGTGAGGGACCCAGGTTTGATTCCTGGGTTGGGAAGATCCTCTGGAAAAGGGAATAGCAACCCACTCTAGTATTCCTGCCTGGAGAATTCCATGAATAGAGGAGCCTGGTGGGCTACAGTCCATGGGGTTCAAAGAGTCGGACACGACTGAACCACTAACATAGGTATTCTCTTGCAAAATGCTAGGATGTGTGGGACCTCACTTAAAGCCCCAATGCTGAGATGGACAGCCACACAGCCCTTCCTAAAGGGTATGTGCTGGAAATAAGCATTTGCATTTTTAGCAAACACAATACAACCTTTTCTGTCCAGTAAGATTTTTCCACTTTCAAGGGGTGTAATATAGTAAAACCAAAAAATATAGAATGTGGAACTTTTAAATATTAGAAGCTTAATTAATGTTCAGACCTTCAACAGAGGATACACAATCTCTTCAAAACTGAGGTTTGAAGGCAAATATTGTCATAATGAGATAAATTAGGGCTCAATTCTAGGTAGAATGTGAAGGTAAAAGAAAGTTCCAGTTGCTTTTAGGGCAAAGCCACATTATATTCCAATTTACTGCCTAAACAGTGCCTTATTTATTAGCAACTCTTCAATGAATGTTTGTTGATTGAAGGTATTTTTCCATGAATATTTTCAGAAAAAGAAAACAGAATCGTGCTTACTGAAGTTTTCATAATTATACTCAAAATGTGGAGAAAAGAAAAGCTAAGAATTTCAAAAGAAATTATTATGCATAATATACAACTCAAGAATACAAGGAAGCTTGTCAGGAAAACATGTTTCTTCTTGTCTCAGTTCTCACTTTCGTTTCCTCCAGGTGCTGTATGGTGCAGTTTCAAGGCAAGATTCAGATGGAGTTATAAGACAGGAGGGAAGTTCTTTCAGAGAAAAGCAAAAATAAGAAGCAGAAGGTATCTCTGTTTTTGTTCCTCCCCAGCTTTTAGTCGATCCTGGGCAGCAGTGGTTGCTGCAGAGCATGACTTCTTGCACAGCGCCACCCAGTGGCCAAGACTTGAACTTGTTTTTTATTTTGCCAAAGATTGAAAAATTAGAGATTCTAAAATTGTCAATGGATTTGACAAGTCATAACTCTTATTTACAGGAGGGTATAAATGCTAGCTAACAAGTCACTTGGATATATTTTATTTCAAAGAGGATGTCTCCTATTAAAAATGACTGCCTCTTTGACTCTGCACAGAGTCACCTAGTGAGTATACACCTGAGTCTCTGGTGAGGGAGCCCCAGCTCTGCCCACAGCTGCCCACTCTCCCAGAAGTTGATAATAAAACCAAATCCTGGCTGTGCCCAAGGGAGGTCTGGAGAAGAAGCTGGAGGGCAGCCTTCGGAGGGGCACTCTACTATTCTTAAGGGAGCATTTTGAAAAAAGTTTAAAAGCTGGTTTCAAAGTAAAGATTAAGCAAAGGTTGTAGACTGTGACTTTTTTCTTAAGTAAGCTTTTCATTCCTGTGCACGTTGCTAAAATTCAGAGCTGGCAACCACTCTCTTTTAGCTTGCACAGGCTCCAAGCTAGACACACTGCCAATGATCAGACAAGGGATGTGAAAAGAAAAAGAAATTATGAACAATGATAAAGAGGTTTCTCTGCCTCCTTTTTTAAAAGCAGCTGTTTCCAGACATAGCCTCAAAAACATAAGGCCCTTGAGAGGAGAGCTATGGGAAGCCCAAGTCTGTTGCCCAGCCAACAGCAGCAGAATCCCAGATAAATCAAAGGCGCTTGACCCAATTAGAACCCATTGGGTGAAACAGCAAAGACTAGGATGGTCCATCTTTTGGCCCTCCTAATCCTGCATGAGGACTGACTTAACAACTACACAGAAGTTGACTCTAAGGAGACAAAGGCTGTGAATATAGGCCAGTGACATATCTGTTCCAAGTTGGTTAGAAACAGTGGTGGGCTTAGTCAATGACTAAGTAGGAAGTTGGACCAGGTGACTTTTGAGGACTGCCTGACTGGATGACTCTGATTGGTCCCATTCCCATTACTTGAAATCATACAAAGATAGAAATAATCTTCTCAATAATTCTAGATAAACCAAGACCATCCTAAAGCATTTAGTATGAACTATGGGCTTCCCTTGTAGCTCAGTCGGTAAAGAATCTGCCTGCAGTGCAGGAAACCTGGGTTTGATCCCTGGGTTGGGAAGATCCCCTGGAAAAGCAAATGGCAACCCACTCCAATATCCTTGCCTGGAAAATCTCATGGACAGAGAAGCCCATGGGATCACAAAGAGTCATGCACGACTGAGCGACTAACACTTACTTATGGTAATATAAGCTATGGGCTTCCCTGGTGGTGCTAGTGGTAAAGAATCTGCCTGTCAATGCAGGAGACATAAGAGACATAGGTTCGATGCCTGTGTCAGGAAGATCTGCTGGAGGAGGGCATGAAAACCCACTCAAGTAATCTTGCCTGGAGAATTCCATGGACAAAGGAGCCTAGAGGGCTACAGTCCATGGAGTCCCAAAGAGTCGGACGTGACTGAGCACATAATAATACATGTTTTTATTTTTATTTATTGGCCACACAATGTGGCTTGCAGGATTAAAGTTCCCTAACCAGGGATCAAACCTGTGCCCGCTGCAGTAGAAGCATGGAGTCCTAACCACTGTACCAACAGGGAAGTCCCAACCTATGCTTCTATAAATGGAAGAATGAAAGGAATCAGGCAGAGAAAATTAGAAGTCTAAAATCTGATGTTATGGAAAGTGTGTGTGTATATGTACACACATGTATATATAGGCTGATACTGTGCAATTAGATGCAAAAAAAATAATCACTTTCCTTTTCTTGAACTTAGGTGAATAGACTTTTATCTCTGCTCAAATTTCAAAATGTTATTAGCACAGCCCTGGCGGTATTTAGACATGAACTGGAAAACCCCAGCAGGGCTTGTAGAAGTATGAGGCAGGCCTGTCAGAGACATTCCAAATACCCAGTTTTTGTTGTTGTTGTTGATTGTTGTGTTTTTAAAATTTTTAATTTATTCTTTATGGTCATGCTACATTGCATGAAGGATCTTAGTTCCCCGACCAGTGGAATCATGGAGTCCCAACCACTGGACCACTAGGGAAGTCCCTCCAGTACCTGTTTTAGTCAAAGGGATTGAGAAGAGTTGCTGGAGAAGCTGGTTTTCTGATGCCCTCAGTATGACCACCACATCAGCAGGAAGAGTGTCTCTGTTTTTCTCAAGAACCCCAGAAGCATCATATAATACCTACAACGTAAAAAGCAAATCACAAGTGAGCCAATACTGTCCCCAACACAGTGTTGCCAGGCAACACTGGGATTGCCTGAGGTCAGTCATTAATCGATCTCTGTATAGAATTCATCTTTACATAGCCATGCTTTTAAACCCAGGCCACCAGATAAGGGGGAGAATTGAAATTTTTGAGAGGCCAGTTTATCTTAATTCCTTGTTCAACAGTTCTTTGATGAAGAGAGTCCTATCAAAGATACAACACTTCAGAATAATTATATTGGGCACTCACAATATGAGAAGCATCCATCCGATGAGGTTAACACTGCTATTGCCTCCATTTTACTGTGGGCAAACAGAGGCTTAGAGAGAGGCTGAATCATATGGCCATGGTCACACATGTCACCAGGGTGGGCAGGCATCCCAACCCAGGCAGTTTGGCTCCATGCTCACACACACTTCACCCTCACTGCTTCCCAAGGGACTTGTGGCACCTGAGTGGTTGGCTCAGGGGTTCTGAGCATTCTTGGTTCTCAGGGCAGAGGACATCTAGATCGGAGACTTTTTAAGGAATGCTCCAACACAGAGCCCAGAAGGAAAAGGATCCTTTCTTTTTCCTTTTAAAATCAAGAAAGGACAAGAAGGAAGAAGAGTAGTAGTTAGAAAACAGGTGTAAAAGGACAGAGATGGGAAGAGAGGTGCAAGGAAGGGGACAAGAATGGAAGGCAGGAGAGAGGGGAAGAATGCGGACCAGGGATCAGGGCGGATATCTTATGCAGTCAGCCTTCAACACTAGAGTAAATAAAGTTTTTAGGAGGGAAAACTGGATTGCAATTTCTAGCCAAGATAGATACCGTCATGTAGTAATGTGAAGACAAAAACAATCTCTTCACTTACATTAAATCGCTTTTCAAACAACATTCAGTCAGGCAAAATTAACTTCCATGCCATGATATGAATGTGAAAAATAATTTCAACAAGTCTTAAATCAACAAAATAATCCAAAATGCCTTTTATTGAACTCCTACCCATTTTCTGGGCCCAGGGCCTCAGCAGACCCTGCCGGAATCAATTAGCCATAATTCACATGGCTCCTTAGAGAGTAACATGAGCAATGGATTGTTGGCTACAGGAGGAGGGGATTTCCTGAATCACTCACTAACCTGCTTCAGGAACTTGAAATTGAGACTGAGGAATAATGGATGAAAAGTGGAAATTTCAGTTAATGTTGTAAAATCTTAACATCTGGATGATGAAGTGAATTTTTTCCCCTTTTTATCTAGACATTTTTGGTGCCCTGTAGACATATGCTTGTGCTACAGAGTGCTAAAAATTGAGCCCCACTGTGATATTAACCCTCCTTCATTGCCTACACATCTCCAAATTACTTTTGAATGTGAGCATTCACCACTAAATGCTGCAAAAGCTATCATGTTTTCTCTCTGGAGAGCTGTCACTTCTAGGCCAAACCTCAGGTGAGAAGCAGATGGCAGCTCTGTGGGCCACCCCAGCGAGAAATTACTTTGTTGCCAGCGGCTACTTTCCATGAGCAATACCACTGTGAAGGTTTAAGAATTATGATTAGGTATACAAGAAGAATTAAAAGGAGAAAGAAATCTGCAAGCAATTTCATGAGTGCCACAAACAGGGTACTATGGACGTTTGTTCCTTGTCAAAATTCAGGTTTAATAACTCACCTTTCCAGCATAGTGCTGAATGCCAAAGCACAGCTCCATTCCTTTGGGCCTCCAGAAGTATTTGCATCGAAGATTATCTTCAAATTTATCTGTGTGGATTTTCATGTTTAAAAGTTACAATGTGAACTCTTTGGTCCTTTAGACAAAAATACGCTCCTCAAACCACGATGACTCAGAATAAGGAACTTCAGGGTAGCCTGACATTATTCTTATATGTACAGTGATGGAGAAAGATCCCCACCCCTACCACATGATGGGCATTTACATTCAAGTTCTCATCTAGCTGTTTCATGTTGTCTTTTGTGTTAAGCTGATCTTGATGATATCATGTTCTGCCCTGAGAACTCCAAGAATAAACACTGATGACACCAGAAAACCAACCAATTAGCTTTAGAACCATGAAGATACTCCATGGAAGGCAAATAACCCTGGTTTATATTCCTCTTGATAACATGTGACAATTTTATAGCTAAAAGGAAGTCACTTAAAGGTGACAGTCTCAACTCCTAGAAGTGAATCTCTCCCACAGATCAATTTTCCATCTGGGAAAAAGGCTTGAAACTTCCTCTCCATCCCTCTCCAGATAGTTTTACTGTTGTGGTCAAGGATGGCCTACTCTGTGTGAGGAACTATGCTAAGCAGTAAAGGGATGCAGGGGTCAGACTTTGTTGCCCAGGGATCTCACAATGTGAGAGATGGGGTCACATGCAACTCTGAAGATTGACAAAGGAGGAGGAGGAGGTGGAGAGGTATGCGGGTAAGTACAGAGGACTCCGAATGCCAGAGGAGATGTTTTACCATCACTCCACAGATAATGGTAATTGAAAGAAAAGGTGGCTTTACAAAAACTATATTAGGTAGGCTGTCCAGTATAAAACGTGAGCCAGGAAGCCAGATCATCAGCAGGGCTTCTATACAAAGTTGGGGGGTCCAGGTGGAGATATGAGAGAAGGGCATGAAAAAGGAGGGGTATCAAATGTTGGTCATGGAAAATAAGGAACAGAAGGTGTAAAAATGATACCGATATAGGGTAAAGGTATTTTGCTTTACAGAAACAGGAAAGTGAGGAGAGTTTGAGAGATGGTGATGGGTTTGCTTTAACACACAAATCCTACCAGGATGTGTTCTGAATATTTCAATTTATTAAAAGCAGAGTCTTTATTTTTACAATCACCATGTAGCCAAAATACACAGGAAGGATTCCATAAACCATTTGATGATATGAGCCAAATAGCCAAGTTCTCTTCTGCACATATGTATGCCTTTTCTAAAAGGTACCTACCAACTAGGGTCTGGTCTGTTGCCTGAGGAAACCGACTTTCCTCATCCAAAAGTGCAAGCAGTCCCAGGGGTTTCTGGAGGAACATATCCAAGAGGGGGCGATTGTCCTCATACTCCACGGGTGTAGCATCAATGCCCTCGTTCTGATACTCCATCTGGAAGGAAATGGATCGTGAATCACTCCAGCCCAGTACTGACCTAGGTACAACCAGGCTGCACGCACTTTCTCTGTCTGGCAACACTGAACAGGGGTATGTTTTATGTGAGTAGGACAAGGCTTTTCTGCATCCAGCACTGTTGAAGCTCAGGATTTAAGACTAACCTACAGGGAGCCTATGGCAGGTGATAAGGTTGGCAAGAGAACCTTGCCTCTCTGTCTCCCAGACATGGACTTGGTAACTCAAATTGAGAAGCTGATGTAGAAAGGAAGGGAAGCTGAAAATTTTTTATTCTGGTGACAAGTATGATTGAAACCAGGAGGAAAGCAGATTTCTGTCTTCTGCAAAGGAATCATCTTGAGCTAAAAAAAAACCTAAAAAGAACTCCAGATTTCCTGGGAAAAAAATCAGTGGAAGTAAACTAGATTGAAACAAGGTCTAGTTTTGTACAAGATGGATGGGGGAGGAGTGCACTGTGGATTTGTCCAGTTTCCATGATAAAACCAATACCGGTGTTTACAGTCCATGACTTTGTCTTTATCTAACCTAGTCTAACCTAGCAGTTTAATGTGTCCCTTGATCTTGCATTAAAACAAGGAACTTGGTCAGAATGTTTAGTTTTTACAACTATATACTCTCTCTTCATACAGGAGAGTCTTGGGATTGGGGTTTGGGTTGGGGTGGAGGATACGGGCCCCAGACTTTGGGTCCACTAGCTTTACATCCTGTTTTATTTGCCATTAGACTCATGGGGGGAAGATTTCCATTTTGAGAAAACCAAAAATGTATCTTACTCCTCCCTGAAGATACCCATCCACTTCTGGTGGGGTCTAATATGCAGGAGACAGGAGATTCATACGGTCAGTGAGGGAGTTAAGGAAACCAAGAACATTATCCCGACTTCCAGGTCATCCTGTATCATTTTGGACATGATCACAGATATTTTTAGTTAAATAAAGCAGAAGAGAATGTAGCATTTTGGGCAATGCATATGAATCAGTTTGGAAACAGCATTTAAATAATTGGCTTGTCACCAGCTTCACTCAAGGGAGGAAACGTACCTTTCCACAGAAATCAAGACCTCTTTTTATCAAACTACATTTAGATTGCCAAGTTATTTTGACAGGACTGCCTCATCAGTGGTTTGTCTTTGGAGTCTTTGACCTGTTAACCTCACTAACAAGGTTTCTGCTTCGAACTCTGGGCAGCCTGTAGGCACATTCCCCACCAGGTCCAGTGCCTTCAGAGTTCACTGTTACCTGCTCGAGAGCAAAAACATGCTGATTGAAATAGTATTGAATTTGCTCATTGGCGATGTTTATGCAGAGCTGCTCAAACGAATTTCTCTGAAAGTTTTCGAATCCAAAAATGTCCAAGATCCCCACATTCAAACCATCGTCTGCAGTACTGCATGAGAGAGAAAAATAAAACCTTTTAGAGAAGGAAACAGCAGTCTCAGGGCAGAGAGAATATTCCTGCCTACATTTTTATCAATACATGTAGCTACTCAGGGAAGGCAACATCCTGCCACCTTTCAGAAAGAAACAGTCTATGTGTTAAACAGTTGATTTCCTGAGTCCTTCAACCATACTTCCAACTTCTCTTATTTTAAGCAACAGAATACTTTCAAATTTTCCTCAGAAGCTCCATCTATAGAGAGATTAAAGAAGAACCACTCTATTTGAAGGGGCTGGAACTGCTGCTCATTTATTCTTCTACTTTCTCACCCACAAGGCTTAGCTGGAAGAAGACTCTAGAATTTCATACTGTCAGTTCCTCCACAATTTAGAAAACACTAGTGCTTAGCACAGATAAAGCTGTAGAAGTAGCAATACTGTGAGATTTCTGTGCTTTAACACCTCATGAAACGTCTCAGTTGATTCTAAAAACAGCAGAAGGAGGAGGATATTATTCTCATTTTACAGATGAGGAAACTATGATTTAGGATGTGCACAAATGAAGCTGTGGAGTCTGGATGCAAACCCCAGTTTTCCCAGCTCCTAGCTAAGCTTGTTCTTTTAAATACCATACTGCAGTGGCTCTGTAATCATGACCCTCTCAGGTGTAAATACACCGTCTTTTAAAGGAGATGCCCTGAGATCGTCATTAAAGAAAACCCAAGAGAGGACCAAATGCTTCCTCTTGGAAATTCTAGGAGACACTGGGGTCAATTACAGCTCTCCTCAAGGTCTCTGCTCATCGGGGGAACTTGCCATATGTTTTTGTCTGGCTGCAGAAGTGTATTGATGCGATTTACAATCCAGCTGAAAAGCCTCCCATACAGGGCTTTGGACATGGCATCTCTGACATCTGAGGCCCTGTCCACAGTGTTGGCGCGGATGATGGTCTCGCCCCGGGTGACCACGCAGTGTGAGGTGAGAGCCTCCTGGAGCTCTTCAGGGCTGATGCAGAGAACCAAGGCAGCTGGAAGAGAGGGTGAGGATAATGCTGGAGAATGTAGACATCCATCCATCTGTCCAAACAGCCAGCCAACCAGTTAGCCAGCATTCATTCAACATCAGCCATGTGCCAGGCTGTATCTTCAGAATTCAGAGCCAAGGATAAACATGTGGGGCCCTGAACCCCAAGAAACAGCTAGACTGATGCAGTACCTCCCAAACTGTTTTGAAAGTTCTTTACATGTGTTAGATAAAAAAATGTGGAAGGAGGTGGTCTTTGACCAAATAAGTTGGAACAATTGTTGGAGAGTATAGTCTGCTCTCAGAAAATCACAAAGCTTATTAGTATAGTTAAGTGCTACAGTTTAACACAGGAGATGTTTATTTAAATAAGCTTTTTTTTTTTTCTTCCTAACTCAGGAATCTTATTCTTTGTGCCACTATTGCCAACCCACTCCAGTACTCTTGCCTGGGAAATCCCATGGACGGAGGAGCCTGGTAGGCTACAGTCTATGGGGTCGCGAACAGTAGGACACAACTGAGTGACTTCACTTTCACTTTCCATTTTCATGCACTGGAGGAAGAAATGGCAACCCACTCCAGTATTCTACCCTGGAGAATCCCAGGGACGGGAACCTGGTGGGCTGCCGTCTATGGGGTCACACAGAGTTGGACGTGACTGATGTGACTTAGCAGCAGCAGCAGCATTATTACTTGTGGAAATTTAAAAATAAATATGTGCATGTGTTATCCCCTCCAGATGCTGATTCAGTGAATTCAGAGTGAGGTCCAACCTCTCATATCTTTTCAAAAATTTGCAGATGGTTTTTTAAAGCAGCCACTGGTGAGAATCACTGCCCAAAGTTACCTGCCACGGACTTTTCAGAAGAACATCTGTGTACTTGCCACTTATGAAATGAACACTGATGTTCTACAAGATATTCTCTGGGAAACACTGGTTAGTGAAAACACCCAGAGTCAGTTAAGGACCAGCACATTATATCTTCAAGTCTTGAAAAACTACTCAAGTAAAAGAAACACGTACTTTGGCAAAACAATGCACAGGAATTGAATACGTACCATTTTCCAAGGCTTCTGCATTGGGCACCTCACTTTTATCTGTTTGATGCTGAGAGGAAATAGCTGCAAACTCAATGTTTCCAATATTCAAAATCCCAGCTAATATCCTGTACACTGAGTGCACCTCCTGAAAAGGACATCAAGAATCATGTTTGGTCATTGCCAGTCAAACCAATAAATTTACCAGCACTGCGGTAGAAACCACTAGTCCACCCACATCCATCTCCACCCCACTGTCCTGGGCATACAAACAACAAATGTCCAAGCCTTCCTTGCAGTTAGGCCATGTAACTAAATTCTTAACAAAGGAACAGGTAGAATGAGGGGGGCCATATCTGGGCTTTCTTTATAGAAGGGAGCATGCCTCCTTCAAGCCTTTTTTTCCATTACTGCTGGATCAAACTCCCAACAACCTACCTTCAATCATACCACTGATTAGAATGTCTGAGACCAATGACTGGATGGAACAGAGATGTTCTACAATCTGAACCTCTTGCCTTGGAATGCTTACATTACAGAGAACTGATCTTTGTTCTTTAAGACACTTTTAGCCTTTAACCCTAGCTAATACCAGCTCCCAAATTCAAGTATGGGTCTTTCTTCAAGACAAGAGTAGAGATGTTTCCTTAACCTCTTGAATATAGTTTATATGAAATAGTTGAGGGGCATTCATTGATGCTGCACTAGAACATCTGAAGTTAAATTATGGAGTATATAGTTATGAATGAGGTCAAGGCATTTTGAAAGACTCACTAGAAATTACCTGTCATGTTTTAGTACAATAAGAAATAAACATCTGGTCTTCATACCCATTTCTGGCACAAGAGTTTCTAAAACTCTAGGACTTCTTGAGTGATAGAGCCGAGAAGGGTGTCCTTTGTTCATCACGATAAGCCCCTTTCATCCACACCTGAGTTTGTGCTAAGGAGGAGGCTCTTGGGGGATGGGTGTGCTGGTTGTCAGAGGAACCAACAATGTGATTAAAGGCTGGAAATCTTAGCTGGACCCCAGACTTCGAGGAGAGCACATGGCTTGAGATAGAGTCAATCATCAATAGGCAATGACTTGATCAGTCATGCCTAGGTAACAGAGCCTCCACTAAAACCCCTAATTGGCCAGGTTTGGAGAACTTCTGGGTTGGCAAACACATGAAGATGAAAAGAGGAGTTGGTGCCTCCTCTTCTGATACCTTGCCCTGTAAGTCTCTTCCATTTGTCTGTTCCTCAGTTGTATCCTTCATAATAAACCAGGAATATTAAGTGAACTGCTTTCCTGAGTTCTGTGAATCCTTCTAGCAAATTACTGAACTTGAAGAGGGGTGTCTTGGGAACTCTATTTACAGCCTGTCTATTAGAAACAGGAAAACATGGGAGTTGCAACTGGTATCTGAAGTTGGGGCAGTCCTGTGGGAATAAGCCCCTATCTTGTCTAATTTGAAGCTAACTTGAGAGGGAGGAGCCAAGATGGCGGAGGAATAGGACGGGGAGACCACTTTCTCCCCTACAAATTCATCGAAAGAACATTTGAACGCTGAGAAAATTTCACAAAACAACTTCTGATCGCTAGCAGAGGACATCAGGCGCCCAGAAAAGCAGCCCATTGTCTTCGAAGGGAGGTAGGACAAAATATAAAAGATAAAAAGGGAGACAAAA